TTCACGGGGGGTTTTGAAACCCAAGCCAATATCGCGATAGCGACGGAGAACTTTCTTCTTCGTCACTCCAGGCTTAAGTTTTCTGTTAAGATTGATGCCAAATTGTTTTTGGAATGCCCTTTCGTTCTAGAATGTTATTAATTTCATTATTATATAACATATATTCCAGCAGAAGCGATACACAATGGTGTGAGTCCATGCAAATAAAAAGAATAGATTAGTAGGTAAAGATGAAATACAACTTAGATGTGCGAAATCCTAGACCTATAGCAATACTTCTGCAGCCTTTTTTTGCGTTGGGCGATTTCCTTCGGCATAACCGGTGTAGAAAATTGCTCGTCAGTAAAGTGTCGGCCGCCGAGAAAAACATAATAAACAGGCAGTTGGATTTTTTCATGAGTCGTTGGTTCATGGGATTTTTTCACTTCAACTGGCTATTTGAGATAGGATCAACCCATGAACCAACTAAGTCTAAATATATTATTTCACTATGGGCTCAACCTACAAATTCTATCGGATGTGAAATGTTGAACATGCCCGAAAAGTTGGCACATAAAATGAAATGAAAATGCGACAAAAATGGCATATCTTTATACATAGTGCTTTCTTTATTATATTTTGCCGATAAATTTTCCATTTTTTTCGCAAATACCCGTCAACCCAATACCACATGGTGTTCAATATCTCACACATTTTCATTTATGGACATTGGTCGTCCAGTTTGTTTTGGTCATATACACATTACGGTAAACACAAGATACGCTTTAAAATTTAATTTCATAATTTTCTAAATGTTTGCAAAATATCCACCACGATACTGCATCTTACCTGATCAGCCATATTGGGGTAAAAGAAAAGAATCGCAGGAAGTGAAATCAACGAGTAAAGGAAATGAAGTATATTCGTTAAAAAAAAATTAGTTACATTGGATCGCTTAGGTTGCAGTTACACGTGCAAGATTTTACTTTAAAGACTTGAAATTCAAGTTGATCACACACACCGTTGGGAAAATTCATTTGAATTGACAGCGGCATTCATCTAGATAACCAATCGTTCAGTTATGGAACAACCAAATATGCATATCTATAGTACTTTTTGCGATCTTTTCAAGGAACACCTAAAGGCAAAAATGCACTTTAGCTTACAGGGCCAAAAATGGAAGAAAAATTTTGAGAGTGGTATCAATCGACGCGTTTTAACGCCAATCATTACAATCCGATGGCGGAGATTAACTTTTTTTTTAACTAATTTAAGAGTTATTTTCAAAAAAAACTTGCACTTTTCGCACTTTCTTTTGATTCATTTGGCGCAAATAAAAGGAGTAAAAGAACACAGCTTAACACGTATTTATTTGTTTTTGTACATTTGTGAGTATTAAGTGAAACATATGTGCAAAATTGTTTATTTAGTTGCAATATTCCGGCCTTAAAAACTCCGCACAGCAATCTTTTGAAGTTAATGGCCCGTAGTCATAGAGAAGTTAGAAAAAGGTTTTAACGATTAAAATTGTGTTTAATTGTAATCACCATTTTAACTCTTTCATAGTCAACTTAAATGCATTTTATGGCAAAAACAGACTTAAAACTTTAAAATGAGGATAACGCGGTTTTAAAATGGTAAAATAAGGTTCTAAGTTTTGTTTTGTTGTTGAAGTAGTAAACGCAATAGCACCCAGGTTCGGTCCCCACTCGGAGCGATTCCAAACTATTTTTTTATTTATATTTTACCATAAACATTATTTTATTTTATTTTATTAAATTTTGTTTGATTATCTTTTTTTGCTTGTAGTATTTCATATAATTATTTCGTTATTGATAAAATTTTTTGGAGTTTGATTTTAATTAAAAAGGCCATAACAACTATAATTAAATAACAAAAATTTAAATAATATTTAAAAGAACAAAAAAGATATAAAA